TGGAAGAAGCAATGGCAATGGTTTTCACGTTCTCAAACAATAGAAGAATCAGCCACAACGGTTTTCACATTTTCAGATGGTGGAAGAATCAACAACCATGATTTTCTCTTTCTTAAATGGTGGAAAAAACAATGGCAAATGGCAATGGTTTTCTCTTTCTCAAATGGTGGAATAAGCAGTGACAATGGTTTCTTTTTCGTTCAAATTATTAGGGTTTTGGGATGAAGAATGACAGGGTAATTTTGGGATATTGTAAAATGAGTCGAACATAAGAAAGGGTAAAATAGTAAATTAACAATGCCCGTTAGTCAAATTAATGTTATCTCAGTAACATAGGACTCCCTGAACGTTTTGAAAAATTATGGTGATTTTAAGAAAATCATGAAGAGTCATAATGAGTTTTAAACAATTTCTCAAAAAAAACGGGCCTTGATGATAACGAAATTTCATTCTGCTGACATGTTGCACCCTTGAGTCTATCATTGAATCTATCAAGAAAACCAAAATGTGCTAATTTGCTTAAGAGGGAAAAAACAAAATAGATTACAAACTTATGGCTATGATTGGTTATGTGGGCATTTATTTAAAAAAAAACGTCATGCCACATAGGTATTTATCAAATAAATAATTATTTGGTTTTACTATTTATCAAATAAATAATATAAAATTGAAACCCATTGATTTTTGTATATAGAGAATTTGGGGAAACGTCAAATTCTTATTTTCACCAATATTTCTTGAAACCAAATACTGATGTAACACACTTTAATGAGTATTAATCTAAGATAAAAAATAAAAAATGCATTTAAAATAAAACTCAATCAAACAACAAAAACAAAAAAACTTTAAAATGAAAAAATATAAATAAATTTTTAAAATAAAAAATATATAAATAAATATACCCACAAAACCAAACACATACTTTTATCATCCCCGGTCTTCCTTATCGATAAACAGCTGATGTCATACCAAGAAAGGAGAATAGAAGGTATTCCTTRTCATCCACGGTCGATTAACAGAAGAGGTCTCCCCAAATAGCAGATGGAGATCAGCCCCCCAAATGAAACCCTAACGCAAATTTTACGTCTTATTAGCACTGTTTCTACGACTAGTAGCTGGTTGCACCTCTGCTTTCAAAAATCCTGCCTCGATTCAAAATTTCGTCCCTTTAGTACCTAACAGACTGGACCTCGAAGCTTTGAAAACAAGAAAACAGGACAAGAGACAATGAAAGCAAGAAAAGAAGGTATCAACGGAAGGGATGGAGAAGCAAGAAAAGAAGGTATCAACGGAAGGGATAGAGACCACTTAACAGTGGACGGTAGAGGATACACATCTACCCTCTGTGAGGTGTGAGCATGGACTAACTGAAGTACTGAACACGAAAGTTCGTGCTTACTAGAAGCTGCTTTGGGATCAAGCAATTCCGGCATTATTTAATATTTTATATAAGGAAAAGGAAAAGAAATCCAAAAAAATAAAAAAAAAGAGAGAAAAGTGCAGTGTAAACCTTTAAATAAGTTAATGCCCAGATGCTCCCTCCTTTCTTAGATTAGAAATTTAGTATAACATCTTTCGGAAAAGTACGGACCGTCATTCTCAATATCTTCAGCTCACCACCCCTGTTGAATCATCGCCGATAACAATGGTTTCTCTTCGGTCTCACCTCGTCACCCTTCTGCTTCTTCAAGTGATCCTATTGCTCTCTCACCCTGTCAAATCTGATGGTAAGCATTGACTCTCTTCCTTTCTTTTTCTTAATTTTAGTCTTGCAGATCTTTTACTTTGATCGGTTTGTCCTGTTTGTTTTATTTCTGTACCAATTTATATATGTTCATCATTCTTTCATTCTTGCGTGATTTGGGTCTTCATTTCAAGTTACAAGCATATAGGGTTGCATTGCAAGTCTGAGTTTGCCGATTTATGGGTTTTTTTCTGATAGAGTAACATTGGTTTGGTTGGGAGGAAGATCCTGATGCCTGGTTCTTCTAAAACGCCATTAGGTGACGATCTTAACGCATTGTGTCTGAAAAGGGACCTGGATAGAGGAGAATCAGTAACACTGATTCTCTCTCTCCCCCTGGTAGTTCAATGATTCAAAGAACTGGTTTTGAGATTTGTTTCTTTTTTCTTACTGGGTTCTTGTCCGTGAGACAAGTGCTCTGAGAGGATACAGGAGAAATACATCCGTATTTGCAATAGCATGATCATTACTAGATTCTAGTCTAGGTCTAAATTCTTGTATTTTAGATCTAGATGTCGTTGGGAAGGAGATAACAAAAGATGGGAACTAATGGGTCCTTCAAGGATCTAAGGCTTCGCATCACCTTATTAGTTGTCTCAACTACGCTAGTTTTGCCATGAAATAGAACAGGAGAAGGTTCCTTCGTGTCTGTAAGTCTATAACAAATTGTTTAAAGTGTCATGAATCTGATTCCCACGATCTATACCTTGAATTGTTCATCTTTCTTGCATGTCCATGATTTCAAAATGGATGCATAAAAAATTAATGACTTGGTTTGTAGTGCTCTGGTATTCCTTAAGATGGAAAATTGCTATTAGTCACCTTATATCCAGATTCCTGAGCAACTGAAACAATGACCAATGTCATACCAACATGCATGTTGTGCAAATCCTTATTAAAATTTAAGTGTGGGCCTTGGCTCAATGGTTGGGTTGCTCCATTGCAACCTGGGTGACCCAGGGTTCAAATCTTGGAAACAGCCTCTCTATATGTGTTGGGGTAAGGCTGCGTACAGCTGCCCATCCCCATACCCCGCATTGGTGGGAGCCTTGTGCATTGGTTGCCTTTTTTATTCTTGCCAAGGTTCAAAGTATCGGGCATATTGGCCTGTATCGGTGCTTTTTTCATATTTTATTTTTTTTTTTCAAAACCGGTTCAGAGGGGTTGGCTCAAGTCCTGGCTACTCTCTTAATCATGGTCTGACCCGATACAACCCCTGTAGGGGCATATTAGGAAGCCATCAACACAATACGTATCAGCAGATACGGGCTGATACGTGTTGATACTGTGAACCTTGGTTCTTGCTCCACGAAGAATCCCTGCAGTCCTGCCTAAGCCGTGATGCTAGGGCTGTCAATGGACCAGGTATTGGTCTAACCCAATCCCATCCAGCATGAATCTACTACAGATGGACCAGGTCCAATCCAATCTGATAAATAATTTGGACAGGACTGATCCAATTCAATGTCTTGTTGTACTGTCCAACCTGTTCAAATTGGTTTTAATTCAGATTGCATCCAACCTGAACCTGGTCCATTGACACCCCTACTCATATTCTGTCAGTGGACCAGATATTGGTTCACCCGACCCAATCTAATATAAATCTATTACAGATGGACCATTAATTCTGGACTGGTCCAATTCAATATGTCTCATTGGACCGTCCAACCCGTTCAAATTGGTTTTGATTTGGACAAGTCGAACCCAAAGCTGGTCCATTGACACCCCTACGTGATGTCAGTGTATTGGCATGGATACAGATATCAAGAATTGGGAAACAGATTTACATTTTTTAAAAATTTAGGCCATGGGTGTGGGTATAATTATTGCATCCATTTCCTAAAATTAGATTGTCCCATTATCTTTGATAGTGTTAATCAACAACTCAGTATTGATAATGATTATCAGGCTGAATGTCCTTTTCCACTATTCCCTTACCTTCCTACATAAAATGAGGATATGCTGAAAATGTGTCAATGGTGTATCTGTTCTATATCCCATCCCTTATACTCACATCCAATTCTGTGGATGCAGGTAATTTTAGCCACATACAGGTAACTGGGTATCATGGAGTATGAGTTATCTCTCCTGGAAATTGAGTTGTTCATGATGTCAAGCTCCATAGAAGTGTCAACGGCTTCTATGAAATCATTCTTTGCAAATACTAAGCTTTCTCAAGATGCATTCATAATTTCTGTTCCACTTTTACTTTTTCCTTTTCTTTTGGAAAGATTTACTGAAGATACACCCACACCTACATTAGATTAAAAAATGCAGAACTGCAGAGATTAATGACTTACTGTTTCAGAATGCAACTTGGTTTTCCCCAAGAACCAATCAGTGGATGAACAATTACTCTGGTCATTTACCATCCAATAAAAAATGATGCAAAAACTAGTAGAACATTTTAGGTCATTGAATGATTTTCTTCTTAACATTTAGAGAAATCAGCAATCGTTGGCAAATGATAGCTATAATATTCCTTTTTTAACTAATACTGTTTCTGGCCTGTAAGCATTTTTCTTTGCTCATTTTTTATGAGTTTCCTTTTCTCCTTTGTCCAACAGCAACAATGATGACAGTCATGGTTCATTTTTCTTCAATCGATGCATTCATCCCGGCTAACTTATTAAACCACATTCCTTAGTTCAATATATCTTTATGTGAGGAATATATCTCTGCATCAAGGATTCAGTATCTGTGTGCGCAATAGTTCGGTTAGGCAATTTAGTTCCTTCAAGTGAAAATGAAGTGGTAAAGTGACTGCCTTCTTAGTTCTTGTGAAAGTTTGTTGCGAAAAGGTAAACCAGTGTAATATCCTGCTGGCTGATACCGCATCTTTGTGCTTTTATGGACATAGAAATATTCAACTTTTTTTCAAATATGGAAGGGGAAAGATGCTTATTATAATTATGGTATAGCAGCAACACCATTCATCGCTTGTGGAAAATTCTTGCTGCATGAGAATTTAAATTCAATACACACCTTTTCTTGTTCCTTTAACTGTGGTTTCTTTCTTTTTCCTTCTATTGATAATTGAAAGTCTTAAGGCTAAAGTGTTCTATATCCACTGTTCCCTTGCAGATGAGGACAAGAGACTTCTTCAAGATATCAACAGCTACAGGGCAACCTTAAATCTGTCAGCCTTAACAGAGAATGACAATGCAGACTGTCTTGCAGGTGAAATGGCAGACCAGTTTAAGAATCAACCCTGTACCAACAGTACCGGTGCCAACACTGTTCCAGGAACTGAGATGCAATTGGCCAACTACCCAGACCTTCTGAACCACTGCCACCTTAACGTATCCAACACCAGGGATGGAGTCATCATGCCCGCTTGTGTTCCAGACCTGGTTCCTAGTCTTGTGCTCGCCAACTTTACTGGTTCCCAGTACTCATCCTATCTCAATGACAGCAAGTATACTGGAGCTGGCATTAGTTCCGAAGGTGATTGGATTGTTGTTATTCTGACCACCAATACGCCTGAAGGGAGTTATGCGACTTACAAATCAGCCAGCGTGGTTCCTAAGGCTGGAATGCTTTTCCACTTGTTTTCATTGTTCTTGGGGTTGTTTCTTGCCCTGATTAGCTAAGTTGATTGTTGGAAGTTTGTCATTTTCTTTTCTTTTCTTTTTTTTTTTATACTTAATGCCCCTTGGAGGGCGCCTTTCTTTTTTTCTTTCAACCTTTGGGCATGGGAAGAATACTTGAAAAAAAACTGATTCCACGGGAAGTTTTCACTGTTAGGGAATACAAGATGCTATGTGTTCCTTCCAGAAGTGGCACTGATTCTGAAGGAGTTCGCATTACCTGTGACCATGGTCGCAGAAAATTCTGAGACCCCCAATGAAATGCAAACACACCAACGTTTGCAATAAATCCAATGCTTTTCTTTTTTAAGAAAAATTGAAGGCATTATATCAACCGATTTTTTATTTCAAAAGGCTGGTGTGTTCACATTTCTCATCATGGAGCAAGCTAATGTCAATTCACCTTAATTGTCTGGAAAAGCAAAAGCAGTTTTGATTAAAAAAAAGAATACATGTTGTTTAAACCATCAAAATAATGATTTTAAAAACAAAAATAAATTTTCTAGTGCATAAATTATATAATTTTTGGAATAATAGAATATGATATTACTAACCAGGTGAAAACATGTTTGAACCAGGAATTCAAAAAATGCTGTTTTGATTTCAGTTTTGGAAACAAAAAATACATATAACATGTTTTCTGAGTTTCTGTGTTTATGTTTTAAGAACCAGTTTGTTGTATATCCCACTGTTAGGTGGGGGGGAAGCCTTGGGGTCCAAGCTCAAGGGTTCCCCCAACCCAAAATAAGTAAATAAGTCGTTGCTGCAAAAATATTTTAGTAATTTTACAAAATAAACAACAAATTTGAGGAACTGACAAAATCAGTGATGTTTAGAAAACAATGTCAAAATCATTGAGTGAGAAAAAAATGGAAAAGTACATACAGATCCATTGCAACTTCTGATTTCTGAGCTGACACCTATCCCAATTTTACTTTGGGCTTAAGAATTCTGACCCTGGACCGTCATTCTCCGAAAAAAGTTTCGTTTTGCACAAAGCCACAAAAATGCTCATAAAAACAGAACAATCGCATAAAACTGCAAAAATTCCACACTGAAACTATTCAGTATACACTCATAATTGCTCCAGAAGTTCTTTGAGATTGGACAAATTCTTTCACAAGTTTTAATCAATCCTCTAATTCTTTCTTGCAAGCTGTCAACAACTCAAAGTCACATAAATCAACTGAAAGGTTTGACCTGCTAGATTTCAAGCTTTTCAGTTCTAAAATCATGCACTTAAATGACTCTTCAATGCAGTTGAGAAGAGTTTTGGTAGAAATCTTACATTGAGGGAAGTTTCATAGGCGCCACTTCAACATTTCTCCCATTATGCTGTTTTGTATGTATAGAGACTTACAAAAGCGGGTCTTGATTTATGTGTGCGCATTTATTATTAAGAGAAGCTTTATTTTAACACTCTCTCCAATGAATAGACATTTATTTACTGTGATGKCAATGGGTGATTAGTAGCATCTAAGTGTCAATAAATAGATTCATTATTACTTTTCTCGATTTTACAAATAAATCAAATATAAACATTTAGTGAATAAAAACCCACGGTTCCAAATACATACTTATTCTCCTCTCTTGGGCCTTGGCTGCCACCCATCGCTCTATCTAGCTCCATGTCTTTATGTTGTTTATGGGATTTAAGCTGAAGTCAATCCATATGGAAAGGAAAACATTCTTAATCTGCCACACCATACCATCACGACTTGTTAAAAAYAACACACATTTTAACGTTTAATATATCTTCGTAATAATTAAAATCAGTCATTATTACTTGACTGATCTTGACTCTTGAGGCTTAAGTTCAATGGTCTAAAGCTTTAGTTAGTAGTTTAGGCTGTGTTTGGTTGAAGTGCAATCTTATTTGTATTAAAAAATGCATGGGACTGAAAATGAAAAGAATATAAATTCTGGTTTAATTTTTTTTTGATTTTTACTTCATTCTGTTTCAAGTCTTATTTTACTTCATTTGTATTGTAATCAAATAAAATAAGGCTGCATTTGGAAATTATGCAAATGGAGTGTAAATCCCGGTTCAGGGTAAATATGCACTCTAGTTCACTTTTGCCTATGTTTGGTAATATTACATTTATGTATTGACAAATGACAAAAAATACATTTCCCAATGTATATTTACATTGATAATACGATATAAAAGTACATCAATAAACTTGCATTCAAATGGGCTTTTGATAAAAAAAGGTCTATGCTTTATTAGAATTCATGCTTTCATCCATTACAGCTAAAAGCTTGTTTGGTAAGAAGGTAAATTTGTCAGTGCAAAACTAACCAAACATTGCAATTTATATGGACCGTTTTACACTCTACATATTTGCATTGACACTTATTTGCATCATTTGCAAACGCAGCTTAAGGTAAAATTTGAAACAAAAATAAATCAGAATGTGCACCCAAACCATTTGCATTATCATAACTTTGCATCAATGCAAATTTATTTGCACTGCAACCAAACACAACATTATGACAAAAGGTTAAAGCAAAACTGTCCTCCGAAATGAGACGAGGGCATTTCAAGATTCTAGAAATGTCTTGACAAAGCACACATACATGGGATCACACCCTTGACTCCTCTAACAAGATGGTGAGAAGTGGGTTTGTTTGTGACATGAAAGTATAGAGTATAAAGGTCTAAGCGTTTCACAAATATAACATGGGGGCCCAAAGTGTCATACTTCCCTGACTTAGTTCAAAGTAATTTGAGTATAAGGTTGCATTTGGAATTGGTGTAAAAGTATATTGATGATGTTTTATACTGAATCATAAAAAAGTGAATATTAACTTCAAAAAGTGTGAAGTTTTACATTGATTTTTTGGTATAGTATTTACATTGATAATCGATGTAAAATTTTACTTTTGATGAGGTTTTACATCGATTTACGACATAAAATTCCACTTCATCCAAACGCCGACAAATCTAGACCAGAATGGAGTTTTACGTTGATCTTTGATTTACACTTCTTCTAAATGATGACAAAACTGAACCAACGTAAATATTTATGTCGATCTTGATTTACATCACTTCCAAATGCAGCCTAAAACTCAGTTTGCAAAGAGTGCAAATATAAATATGTTTGATTTATAAAAATACAAAGTTGATTTAATTTTACATTAATCCTGTCAAACAAATTTAAGTTGTGATGGGTGTAAACATGAATTTCAAGACTGAAATTCACCTTTTTTTACATTGATCAATTTTGAGTGCAAAAATTTGTGTCCATTTTTTTGAATTCAAACACAACTCTCATTTTGAATGCAAACATATTTTGAAATGCACAATTACATTTTTATCAAATGTCCATAAAATTTAAATAGAATGCATAAAACACACATTTGCACTACAAAGTAATCACTTATCCGTTCAATACTCTTAACCAATCAGGTGGTATTATTCATCAAAATTCATGGTTTTTTATCGACCAAAGCTCTTCGGTATCATATATTTTGTTTGTTCATGATGATCTTACTTCCAATCATTAATATGCAAGTAGCTAAAGAATGTCAGGCTTCATTCGTGTCTCGTTAAATTATTTACTTGGATAAATTCATTTATCCATACCAATGTTTACAGATAAACACTTATTCGGATAAATGCTTTTATCATTGTTTTTTTATTACTCAAATGAGTATCAAGCATCTGTTTGACATCGATGCTGCTGCTCCAGAAAACGGTAATACATCAGTGTTGCGTCGAAAAAAATAGTATTTCAGAAAATGCTTGTTTATTTGGAATTGTTTTTTATAAAAAGTAGAGCTTCAAGTCACACCTTGGAAATCGAGAATGCATGATTTGGAGCAACACCGAATTTGGCGTTTTTTCATATTGGAGACCGGATCTGCTCCTCACACTTGATGGCTCACAAGCGCCTCACACGCACATCCTATCATGCATTGGGAACATCTTCCATACTTATTGATTATTATTCACGGGACACGCTCCCAATGCATGGTGGATGTGCCTGTAAGGAGCAGATCCCGTCACCTCGGATTGCAGTTTGTTGCTGCCAATAAAAACATGATGTGGCAATGATGTAGATTTCCTATAACATTTTCAAACACCATTTTCTAAAAAAACAGTACCTCCAACTCACACATCAGCATCACCGTTTTCTACAACATCGGTGTCTAACATATACCAAATCGGGAGATTGGTGCGCTCTGTGACTGTGAGGTTCGGGTGAGGTGCGCTCAAAAATCCCCTCAGATCCAACGTGCTTCTGGCTTAGTCCACGTGAAAAATTGAAAATCGCTTGGCATCTCGTGCGTGTAAAACTGTTAATGTTGTTTCATATACAGATCTCCAATCTTGTGAAAGCACATACCTCTCGCTCTATATAAGCTCTCCGCGCGAAGGCACAAGGTCCGACTCCGACAGGCATTCTTCATAGTTGTGGTTTTGAAGAGGAAGAGCAGAAGCAGCGAGAAGGAAGTTAGAGTGAGAGAAGATGATTTACAGAAAATGGAGTCTTCTTACTGGCCCAGTGTCCATCTTGGGTTCCATCGTAGCCACCGTCGTCGTTGCGAACTACCTCTTCGTCGATAACGTAAGTCCCATCGAAACCCTAAAAGCTTAGGCTTTTTAGCCTGTATTTGCTTTGCTATTCGACATGATTTCTCCTCCCTTCCTTTTGTTGCATCAGTTCAATTTTCTGTAGGATCGATTGAATCCACTACTGTGAGATATGGGATATTTAAATTCTTTTTTCTTGCGTTTGTGTTTTACTATTTGTTTTGTTTGAATCATCTTATTTTATCCTTTCCTGTTCTCTCCTCTAAGTTTTATGTCTCTAGTATCTCGTCTTGTTGGAATACCTAAAACCAAATCTTCTTATGGAACCTTTACTACAAACGTTCTGAAACCGCATAAAGGCGTTGAACACGCTAAGAACCTGTTTGATGAAACGTCCAACAGAGACTTGTGGTCACTAAACGCTCTTCTTGCTGCCCAAGTTCGAAATGGCGACGCTCATGCTGCATGGCATCTTTTCCGTAAGATGCACCGGACGCGCCATGATCTGGATTCTTACACCTTTACACCTGTTATTGGCGCGTCCACAGCCCTGGCAGACCTCAAGAGAGGTCGACAAGTCCATGCTTTGGTCATCAAAACCGGTGCTGTTTCCGAAACTGTTACACAAACCGCCGTCATGGACATGTACTCCAAGTGTGGACACTTGAGTGAGTCGGTTCGCCTCTTCAAAGAAACAAGATCGAAGGATGTTGTTACATGGAACACCATGATTTCAGGTTTCCTCTGCCATAATCTTACTAGGGATGCACTCCGTGTCTTTGAAGCAATGAGAAAGAGTGGAGTCCACTTTAGTGATTTCACGTTGTGTTCTGTGCTGAAAGCCTGCGCTTCTCTGAAGGCTCTTAAACAGGGGAGGGAAGCTCATGCGTTAGTAATTGTTAGGGCTTGTGATATGCTAGTCTTGGGTACTGCTCTCATTGATTTCTATTCAAGTTGCGGGTTAATGGATGAAGCCATTAATGTTTTCCGCAATTTGAATTGCAGAAAAGATGATGCAATCTATAACTCGTTGGTTTCTGGTTGTGTCCGAAATAGAAAGTACAAAGAGGCTTTCTCTATTATGAATTACATGAAACCAAATGAGATTGCCCTCACCAGTATTCTTTCTGCCTGCTCAGAGTGCTCAGATTTATGGATTGGGAAGCAGATACACTGTGTGACAATCCGTCTTGGCTTTGAGTGGGACACTCAACTTTTAAATACTTTGTTAGACATGTATGCTAAATGTGGTAAAATATCAATCGCCCGATTCTTGTTTGATCGAATTCCTCAAAAAAATGTGGTTTCTTGGACCAGTATTATAGATGCATATGGCAGTCATGGGTATGGTGCCAAAGCTCTTGAGATGTTTGATAAGATGAGCAAGGAACAGACTGGTGTTTCACCAAATTCAGTGACATTTTTGGCTGTTCTATCGGCTTGTGGGCATTCAGGTCTGGTGGAAAAAGGTCGAGAATGTTTTGTTTCCATGAGATTGGAACATGGAATAATTCCAAGATCAGAGCATTATGCATGCTTTATAGACCTCTTAGGCCGGGCAGGTCAGCTTGAAGAAGCCTGGGGTGTTTTTTATGATATGCAAAAGATGGGCAATGAGCCCATGGGTGCAGTATGGGCAGCCYTACTTAATGCTTGTAGAATTAATTTGGATGTGAAGAGGGGTGAGTTTGTAGCAAGACGCCTACTTGAGTTGGAGCCAGACAAACCTGGGAACTACATACTGCTTTCAAACTTCTATGCTGCCATTGGGAGATGGGATGTTGTGGAGGAGTTGAGGAATTTGTTGCGGGAGAAAAGTCTGAGTAAGGAAGCAGGGAGTAGCTGGATAACCATTGAATGCTAGGTTGGAAATGTTGACCTATTGGTTCAAGAAAAATGATATTGATGAGCTTTAAGAAGTGGCCGTGCCTTTAAGATTCTATGCTATTGGCAATGTTATAGRGACAATGATAGGTGTTCAGTTGAAGCATCTACTTCATGACTTTGGTGGTTTTCTTGAACACGAATGATTCCAATTACAGTGGTTTCTGAGATCAGAATCACTGAGAAACCTACTCTATAATGTGTGATTTCTGGAACCACTTTGAAATCGTTGACTCAATTATTAAAAAAGAATATTCCCTCCATTTTGGCATCAGTTTTTGATGTTTTTTGAAATTAGTTAACTGATTTTCCTCTTTGGGTGTAATGATTACTCTTTTACTGCCCTTTTGCTGGTATTGTGTGGGGCAACTTGCTTGACAAAACAATAATCAATCCATGTTGAAGAACGCAATGGTGATTTTCTGAGTCCTGGAAACTAATGAAGTCGGAAATTAAAAACATTCTCTGTTGCCCAGCTTCACAGTAATTATCCACAGAAATTGGTTTGCAATGGTAAACCTTTTATGTTAGCAGCATGTTTAGTACATTTTCTATTACATAGTGAGCTATAGTATGCATTTGCACCATATCAACTATTACTGATAACATACTTTAGGGTGTCATAAATGGAAGACTTTGTTTTTGTTCCCCTTATGTGGTTAGATTTTGAAGGGCCTTGGCATCCCTTGCTTCAATTAAGTCTTTATTCTGGTTTACACCCGTTTTGGTTCCTCCACAAATTTGAAAGTATTGCCAGGCTTGGAATGTAGAACCTACAAGTGAACTGTTCATATTGCATGTTGAGGTATCRAGTGTAATTTTGGTCATCACTTTACTGTGCTCTAGGCAAAGTGAAGAATACTGATTTCCAGTATTTTAACTGTTCTCTAGGCAAGTTCAGGCTTCTTCAATGATGGGAGGACCAAACCAATTTCAATAAAGTCCTCATGGCTGTTATTAAATCTTGTTTAATCTCTCCTCCCCCAAAAAATAAAAAACAAAACAAAAAAGGGAAAATGAAAAGAAAAGCATTCAATTTATCTAATTATATTTTTTAAGTTGCTAAGTTCAATCACATTGACACTCCTCTCTGTCCCTTTGAACCTCCTTTTGTGAATCCTCTCTTCTGGAGCTAAGAATGAAATGTTTCGCCGCGCTGCAGTGCAGCAAATTGGCATTAGCAATTAGAGAGGGATGCTATAGCGAGGGGATGACAGCATTGTGGCTTCTTCTCTCTTATTGAAAGCTACCATCCAACGGATATTGGAACTGCCTCTACATCTTAAAATTAAGCTCATCTTCGATGGTTGCAGCATAGGTTACTGTATTAATTCAGGAATTCATCATGTGAAGTCCTTTTGATTTACACTGGACCACTTGGACTTGGTAACTCCAGCCAAGATGGAAGTTACTCAGTTTTACAAGGGCTGAAATTGGCTGACTGGATTATATAGAGCATAAAGTAGAAGGGAACTCTAGGCTTGTAATGGATGGTTAAGCGATGTTAAGGGATGAAAAGTTAGTTTCTTTGATCTACACCCATACTATAAGAGAAGCAAGATCCTTCATATCCAGATTGAAAATGTCGTTCAAATGGATTCCTAGGAGTGTGAACACTTCTGATTTTTTTTTTTTTTTTTTGCAAGGGAGGGCCGGAGGGGCATAAACAATCTGGCAATAATTACATAGTCATGTCACTAAGATTTGGATTGAAAAAAATTGGTCAAGTCAAATAGTTTTCTTTTTGCAATATACATATACTATTACTAGGAATAGGATAATTGATCTTTATTGGGGATAACCTAGGAATTGTAGTAAAGTGTGCTGTTTCTGGTTTGTATGTACATTGGATATGTTTCCTCATTTATTTAGCTGACAAAATACTTGGGAACAGTTATGGATTGAAAAAGACTGGCGTAATGAACTTGAAAAGATCGGTATTTAGAAGGTTAGTTAGAATTTACTGAGTTCTTTTAGATTCTTCACTTAAAGCTTAAAGAAGCTTCATTTGTAGAAAAGTCCTGTTGGATAATGATTGTAAGACATTGTAGTCCTAAGTTAATTTGATGATTGAACTTTTGTTAATACCCCATCTCCTTTAAAACTTGTAGGATCCATTCGTTAAGCCAGAGCAAAGGAAGCAAGAGACATCATCATCCACAAAGTAGACAAATGGGAGGACAATTTATGCCTTAAACCCTTAGTGGCTTTAATCTTCTGTATGTGTGCAGGCAGGCGTGGCTGTGCAAACTTTTTTTTTTTTTTCAATAGGAGTTCCAATTTCCAAATATATGATTAAATAAAGTCGAAGTTTATGGACCAAAGCTTTTGCTGAGGCCTCCATCATGGATTGTGCTCAAAATCCTGATTAAAGCCTTCTTTATAACGGGAATGGAAAATGCCGGCTTTTATTCTTCTTTCCCCTTTCTTGTTGAGATATTAGGTTTGCGGTTTGCCATTAGGCGGATTGCTTGGCATTTGGCAATGCTCCTCCAATTTCGTTTTTGTTTCTTTTCCACAGGTTTAGCCGTAACCATAACTAGATCTAGATGCTATGACTTTTCACATGAAATCTATCCGTGAAAGAATATTGCTATTTAGTTATCTAGCAATGAAACAAGGAGAAAAGGTAATTTTGACATTTTTTTTCTGTATATTTGGAAGGACGTTAATGTAAATCCAAACTAACAAATCCCTTCCCCTATTCCTAAAAATCTAGCTGGATAATAATTTATAAAACAAAACAATTTTTAATATAGGAATTGTCTCATTTAAGATTTAGCTCTTTGATCTTTTTAAACATTAAAAAAGAAATAATTGTATTGATGTGTTGATGAATGGTTCAATCATATAACTCGTTAAGATAAAAGGTATAAACAAATTTAAAAAGGGTTTTATCGTTATAGATTATCTTTTAAAGCTATACATGATCAGAATAAGCTTAAAACAGTATATATTACACTTACGAGGCAAGTAAATCGGTTGAATTTGACCGAGTCAACATTTCTAAGAATTGGGCAAAGCCCCTTTGGCTGCTGGTTCCTGGTTATAGCGGTCCAACTGTCCTGCTGGTCCAAGTTTGACAACCCTAGTTGAGAATTTCTAACCCAAGTGTTGGTCATTCTAAATCCAAAATACAGATCCAGAAAAGCTATGACAAATGTTTAAAATTTTGATACGATAAGCCCGATGCAGTGTATCGATCGTATCTTTGACAAACATATACGAGAATGGAAATCGGACGTCTTGTCTTTTTTATGTGTATTAGAACCATACCAGATCGTATTGGAGTGTATCAAAGGCGTATTGGGGCGTATTGGGGGTGTATTGAGGTGTATCAGTAGCGTATCAACAAAAAAGATACGGCCAAAAACTAAAAATAAATAAATAAAGGGGAAAGCAAGCTTCTTTTCCTTCAAATAAGTCTTCTTTCACCCCCAAATGACTCTAAAACTCCAAACCTCCTTCCTAGAGTGCTAGATTTGCAAAAAAAATTATAAGAAACAAGTGTGAATCGTTAATTTTTTTTTTTGAAAATTTTTTAAATTTTGAAAAAGTATGGCAAAAATAGGTAAATTTGTTCAATTTTTTATAATATCTTGTGATTTTTTTCTTGAATGTTTAAATTGATGTTGATCTACATTTCTTACATTCAAAATCATAATTTTTTTGTGTTGTTAATAAATTTCTAGAAATTTCATGAAGATGTTTGGAGAAAATATAAATTAATAAAAAAATTGAAAATGTAATTTCTCTCTACCTATAAAGACTAAATATGTTTTAGATCTATGGATTTATTTATCATATCCATAGAGCAATTGAAATTTCTTCTTTAGTATTTTTTTTATTTTTTATATTTTTGAAATTAAAAAAATAAATAATAAATAATTATATTTTATCATTTGATCACAACAATTGAATATATTATAATTCTATGGATGTTCTTTCATATCCACAGTCCAATTGAAATTTCTTATTTAATAATTTTTTTTTATTTTTATATTTTTAGAATTAAAAATTAATTAATTAATTATATATTTTTTTTATCATTTGATCACAACAATTGAACATATTATAATTATATGGATGATCTATCATATCCACAAAGCAATTGAAATTTCTTATTCAATAACTACTTTTTGAATATATTATATAATGTTTATTTATTTTTTATACTTTTTGAAAACAAATAATAAATAATTATTTATTATATTTTCACTTAGAATTTGTGCCAATGCATGTTTTATGGTTGGATAGGAGAATTGAGTTTTTCCCATCCCATAAAACATTAAAATATATTAATTTAATGTATATACACCTCATTGAGGATATTAGTGTTATTAATGTTTTTTTTATGATTTATTAAAGTATTTATAGTGTTTCCAAGCATATCTATGTTATTTTAATTTTTCTCCAATACACATGTGTATCCAAGGTGTATCCCGATACATCTCTTAAAATTGCCTTTCCGATACACTTGGTGTTTTCCGATACTTTGAACCTTGGTTATGACGACCCATCAACTACCCAAATTTAGGCATAAGCCTCATTCATTCATGATTTAAATAAAGTGACTAACGCATCAAAGCACATGAGTTGGGTTGGGCCCTTTGGCTGGTCCACAGTTGGTTCGATTTTTAATACATGGATCTTGAGTTCTTGACAAACGAAGAATAGCGTACCTGGAATTTAACACACCACATATTCGAATCTTGACGATGGACCCATAGCTCACTAACGATGGCTTATTCGTCTACCCTAAAGGCCTAAACCAACGCTTATGATCCGAGCCTCGGAATTGAGACATGGATGGGCGGCTAGGCTGGCAAGCGGTGCGACGCAGGACTGAGCGACGATTGATGGCAACTAGAATTCAACAATTTTCTAAAGAAAATTATTTATGAGAAAATTCTCAATAAGTATTTGTACATTTAGCTCAGTGTCATTTTGGTTTCTGAACTTTAAAATGCAACAATTCAATATCCTAACTTTTAACATGCGCCAATTCATTACCTGCCATTAACCGGTCGTCAGTCATGTGTATCATGTTAAGATTTAAATTTTTGAAAATGTCAAAATTATCCTTCAAAACATTGTTCATTAGCTTCTTCCTCATGAATTAAGATTGAACCACAACAATGGTGAACAATCCCAATCCTGTGCAGGTTTGGGGTTGCATTTGAAACTTTCCAACAATTTAGTCATCTCTCTGTGCAACCAATGACAACCATCTCAACATTGTCCAACATACAGATAAACATTTGCACCAGAGTATAAAAAGAGTGGCAATGGTGATTCTTCCATTCCACAAGCATAAGAGGCTCAATGGTGCAATGGAGACAACACGAACGGACTTTAGGTGGGTCAACTAAAGGGTCCTTGATCAAGCTCCATGCTCTGCCATTCATTTGGTCCTTTCTATAGCAATGATTCAAGAAGAAAATTAAACGATACCAAAAGGGCATTTGTGTCTTTTCACATGCCACTTAACGGTTGGTTAACGATAGGTATTGGATTGGCATGTTTTGAAAGTTCAGATGACTAAAGTGGCACTATGCCCAAAGTATAGGACACTAATCACGAATTTTCCTATTATTTATTTAATAGGAAAAATTATAGTCAAAGTCGGCTCAACATTTAAAATGACACTGCAATTTGGTTCAAAAACCAACAAAACTTTGGCAGCCAGTTGTACATTTCAAATTATAAAACCCTTGCCACATCACCAAAAGCTTATGTGGTTGTTGCCAACATGGGACTCTTAATCCATGTTGGACACAACATGAATTTGTCCAACATAGATTATTTGAAAATAAAATAAAAAAAAGTTTTCACTTTCTCTCCCACTCTCTCTATCTTTCAATCACCCTCCCACTCTCTCACTCTTACAATTGTCTCTCCTTGCTCAATGACTATGTGATTTGAGAAAAGGGTTTTACATTCTCTCAGTCAATTTCTCTCGTTCTCTCCCTCTCTATCAATCTATTGTTCTCCCTCAATCTCTCTCATTCCTTTCCTCATTTAATATCTCCTCCCTCATTTTCTCTCTCGAATGATCTCTCCTTATCCCGCATTCTCTCTCTCAATTGATTTCTCCTTATCCTGCATTCTCTCTCTCAATTGCTCTCTCCTTATCCTGCATTCTCTCTCTCAATCAATCTCTCCTTCTCCCTCAGTCTCTACCATTCTTTCTCAATTTCTTTCCCACTTCCTCTCTTGTTCTTGTTTTTTCTTACACACTTATACGGTATTAACCAGACCGTATTAAAGAACATAAAACCAACTTGGTATGGTTTTAACTCCCTTAGCCCAATTTAATAAAAATTCCCAAGAAATTCTTGGTTATGAAATTTGCACTAACTTGATAGGAATTTATAACTTGATTGTACAAGTTGTTGGTCCCTTGACTAACTTGTAACTTATACGGTTTGATAAATACCATATAAGTTTCTATGAAAAATAAAAAAAATGAGGGAGCAAGAGAAAGACTGAGGGAGAATAAAAGATCTACACATAGAGAGAGAGAGAGAGCGAATTTGATTTGGCTCTTGACCAAAGCTAAGAGAGTGGGAGAGACAGAGGGAATGGGAGATTGAGAGATGACTATGAGAGTAAGAGAGTGGGAGGGAGATCAAAAGACAAAGGAAATAGGAGATTGAGAGGTAGAGGGAGCAAGAGATACAAAAAGAGCGGGAGATAGAGAGATAGAGGGAGTGGGAGAGACAGAGGGAGCATGAGGCTGAGAGACAAAGAAAATGGGAGATAGATGTTTTGATTTTGGTATAAATTTTTTACTATATCCAATATGGATTAAGAATGCCATGTTGGCAATAGTCACAATTGGATGGCAGGGGTTTTTATTTTTTTAATCCATATCATTTTTTGAA